AATTTTATTTAGTCCTGACAATTTAGTCAATTCTGATTCCAGACTGTAAATTTCTCGTCAGCTTTTCTATTGTAGATTTGTAACTACAGGAATAGTGCTGAGGAACCACGGGCGCAATTTGCCCATCTGCTCAGCAGCTCTCTCAACCCCACCCAGCAGCACTCAGCAAATCAGTAAGAGATGGATTCAAGCATCTCTGCAGTGTTTCTTCCTCAGAGAGAGAGAGATGGAAAGCGAGCGAGTAGGAAGTGGGAAGTCACCTCCGTCACTGTAAGACACCCACCTAATCAGCTCAGCGCCTGGGGAGAGAGAGAGGAAAAGAGTGAGAGAGGTAACAATTGTAAGGGGTGACTGAATAGCCACATAAAGTGTTCCTGCCATGTTCCCTCAAAGGATGGGTTCACTGAATGTGAAGGGAATCAAATTAGGAGAGGTAGCCAGCCAAGTTGGGGCCGACGTGATGGTGTTACTGTGGTGTTACTGCATTAAAGAAATATATCGGGAAGATTTTTTGATACATGGATAACAAGATAACTAGTTATATGTGTTGTTACACTGAGTAATATATATATATATATAAAACATTTTTTCTTTTTTTTATTATGGTTGCCCTCTCTGTTATAAAAAAAAATCAAGGCACTCAGGCCAACTCCGGGTGTGTGGATCAGTAAAAGTTAAAACTTTTAGTCTCAAAAGAACAAAATGGGCTTTTTTCCATTTTTATTGTTTTATTATATTTAATAATTATTTAAATATATAATTTTTATAATATCAATTTAATTATATATATATATATATAATTGCATAAATATATACACATCTGTTTTCTTTTTTTGCTATGTTACAAAACTGACTTTTTTGGTACCCGTTTTCTTTTTCACTAAGGAACAAAAACGGATTACTTATTAAATGTTCAGTCTTGCCCCTTTTCCATTCTTTCATGTAAACCAGGGGTGTCCAAACTCGGTTCTGGAGGGCCGGTGTCCTGCAGATTTAAGCTCCAACTTGCCTCAATACATCTGCCTGGAAGTTTCTATTATGCCTAGTAATGCTGCCTTCACATGCTATCGGAATTATCGTAAATACGAGTTTCCTTATCGGAAGATGGACGTGAACGGCCTCTCAAATCGTATTTACTACTGGGAAATTCTGAAATTATTTTAATACCTGAGTTTCCGAATTGGGCGGGTCATAAACCATTGCTGCTGTCAATGCTGTTCTCACAACAACTACATCCCTTTGTCTTGTCGCTAAAGTAGTGTATTTATAGGCTAGATATGAACGATCATTCGAAGCATATTGTATGTTTTAAAAGCAGTGGAATAAGCATGTATTTGACCGAAATTCCAGAATTGTCAGCAAACTGCATGTATGGTGAATGTTTATATGATTGTCAACCAATGGGATGCTACATTTTATTCTTTCCGACATTAAAGCACTTGAATACGACAAGCTCGTAATCACGACTTCATAAGTGGGAAATAGGACATTTCCGATAGCACGTGAAAGCAGCATAAGACCTTGATTGGTTGGTTCAGGTGTGTTTAATTAGGGCTGGAGATAAACTCTGCAGGACACCGGCCCTCCAGGACCAAGTTTGGAGACCCGTGATGTAAACCTTCAGTATTTACTTTTGAGTTTTTGTTTTCCAAAAATCTAAAAAACCAATTAATACCTGAACTCTCTGGGGATTTATCGCTTCAGATGGAAAAAGGTGCTTTCGTAGTTACTGGTTGAATAATTGCAATTTAATTTTTTATTTAAATTTTTTGCAATTAGTCATTATCAGCGTTCCACATCTGCTGCGGAACATTTTCATTGAAACATCTGAATGTGAGCCGAACACGTCTCTGACAAGATTTCTAAGCTAACTGACATCATTATCTGCCATCTCTGCTCCATAATTGCCTGCCCTAATGCATTTTTTTTATTGTTTTCTTTCCCCAATACATGTTCCACACCTGAGCAGAGAAGGAAAAAAGTACTATCTATTAACTGAACATCTCGTCATCTGCCTGACCAGCTATTTCAGGTCTCTCCATTAGTGAGACATGACGAATCCATCTGACGTCCTAACTGTCATATCCCTGAGCCTTTAAAGATCCCTATAACATGCTCAGCAATCCAAAAAATGGAGACAATTGATTTTCGCCTGCCAAGAATGATCGTAATAAAGTTTTACAAGCATGACGAATCCCCAGGGTTATGATCTATGCACATTTTTCAAAGGAAAAAGATTTCTCTCTCTCCATTGAATCATCTTTAGACAAATGGTGGCGACAGTATAATTGGACATTAGTCTTAATTCACATGTTACAGGAGCTGAATTGAATGCTCGCTCCTCTTGGCTGGACACCGAGCTCTTTTCTCTGCATGTTGCGTTTGGTTTTTCTAATTGTGCCTGGTGAAAGGCAACCATCCTAAACTGAAGAGCATAATTTAACTGGCCTTAATAAAGGACTTCTATTCAACATCGGGCCCATTATTTTCCAGCTAGACTCCTGACCGGAGATAAATAGGAATGGTACTCTCACCTTTTTTTTTTTTCTCTCACTTGCTCCCACTTCTCTGGAATCTTAAGTAAATGTATAAGTGTGTGCGGAAACGGATTCGGCTACTTAAAGAAAACGAGAGGGGACCGAAGCAAAAAAGGACGCCTCTGCTTTTTTCATACAAACTGAGGAGCCTATTAGGGCTAATATGTTTTTTTAATGGGAAAAACCATAGTTGATCCCGAGCTAATTTCCCTTGTGCGGCTTGGGCTCTGAAAGTAATCCATCACCTCAGAATGAGGCAGTGGCGGCAAGTAGCCACGTCTCTAATGAAGCTCTCCTTCAGAGGGCTAAAGAATCACGCTGTCAGTCTCCGCTCAATGCCATCTCCGGTACAATGGCCTCCCGATTGTTGCTTTCTCTTTGTATGTGCTAACCCAAGCAGGGCCTTATACAAAATGAATGGGCCGATGTAACCTTAGCTTTGACGGTCCCCTGCCATCCCAAAACACCTGTCAGTCATGCTTTTGTTGTCGGCACAGGTGAGTTTGACATTGTGCGCTGTACATATTTCTGAATCTCGCGGTTCGTGTTACGTCGCGCCAGGCGCTCCGTGACCAAGGAGGCTTTTCGGCTGGATTTTGTTGTTGTTTTCATTGTAGAGCCCTCCGCTCTCTGGACTGAAAGGAAATAGAGTGTTTCTTTCAGAGAGAAGGGGGCACAATCCCGTCGCTCGTGTCTTCCGAGGAAGGTAGAACTAAATGCACTCAGCTGTCCTTCTTCAAATGTCACTATCAAAGGTCTAGGATGTGTGTGTGTGTGTGTGTGTGTGTGGAGAGATTTTTAGCGAAATGATGTGCAAGCTATAAGAAAAGGCCAGCTCGCTGCACCTTTCCTGCCTAGCCTTTGCTGTCGCTCACTCTTCCGTGCATTGATCTGTCATTTAAATCTGATCACTTCATTATCTCCCGAACGGTGGGCATTACGTGGGTGTCGTGAGCATGCTTAACCGAGTGCTTTCGGCTTTTATACCCAAGGGTTACTGCCTTGGAGGCTAATAGTAATTCAGGGAACACAGGATTGATGGGAACGGAGTTTAAAGCTTAAGTGTCCTAACTGTGTTTCGAACAAAATGTTTTTGTTCCAATTTTGGACCAATGAGATTTGGTGGGCGGGGCTATGCAGCACCGGCGCTCAGATTTACATGGGTGAACTAATTAAAATGAAATAAAATCGCATAGAAATTGTTATATACATTGTCTAAAATTAATAGCAAATGCAAAATAACAATGGCTTTAGTACATTTTTTAATCCAATTAAAATTATTTGACTCATGTCTTTTGAACAACTTTGACTAGATGGAAAATTTCTTGCATTAAACGAGCAAGGGAAAAAAATATACAAATAATCCCAATGTCATAAGAAAAAATATAACATTTATTTGATTTTATTAAATATTTATATATTTTCTAAATATATTTTATTATATATGACTATAAAATGGAAATAATACATACTTTATAATAAGTCAAATATATATTTTAAATTATAATACATAATATCTTATCATATCATATGATAACATAAAATACATATAACAATGCAAATTAAATTTTTGTGGCCAGTAAAAATATTGTCATTTTTAAAAATAAATATTATGTATATTTTTTTAAATATGTAAATGTTATAAAATATTGTATTTAAATCTAGATAAATATTTATATAAATATTATAAATAAAAATATGTATATTTTTAATTAAATATTTTCTAAATTCATGCAACAAGGACAAACATGGACAGAACTATACTTTAATTCTTCATATTGCCTGCCTTTCTCACAAATTCTTGCATTTCTTCTCTAGTTTTCAAAGGTTTCCGCTTGTTAACCATTCATTGTGTGTTTCACACCTCTTACCGGGCCTTTTATTCGAACTAGGGGCTTTTTGGCTGAATCATCTTTCGTTTAGAGTCTCATCGGACCGAACACGAGGACACAAGGTTGCCACAGTAGCCTTCAGATATGGGCGACATTTTGCAGGGTGTGTTAAATCTTTTCAATGGAAAGGGGAGGTATGCTTCAGGTAATACCACATTATGAGCTCCCATCGGTCTTGGATTTCTCTGGATTCATGCTGGGTCTCTGGTGAGCTTTAGCTCGGGCTACTGCTTGGGCTGAAAGCACACACATAAAAGAGCTTTTAATAACTATTCATAGACAGTAAATCAATTCCTTTTCCTATAAAACATGTTGGGCATGCTTATAGTTATATCCAAGAACATACATCCAGTATATTGAAAAAGATCACAGAAAGCCCTGTCCGCGAAGATATTGAAGTAAATCTCAATACCTTCCACTAAAATTAAAATGACAACTCTGTTTCTACAGATACCGACTTCCATTTCTGCAGATGTTGGTCTGGGCCCTTGTGGAAGACTAGTGATTTTGTTGTTGTTCCTTCTGCTTTCTGACAACAAGTCGCAGTCTACCTCAGCGACCAGGTCCATTGGCTAATATTGTGGATACACCGAAACCTTCTGACCAAATGAGAGGCTCATCTGTGACCAGATGCACTGGTTTTCCCCTTCATTAGACGGGTAAGTTGCATCTGATTGTTACTTGTAGCTAACGCTCATAATTAACCGTGTTTTGGACCCGTGAACATGCTGCCTAACAATGCGGCTGATTAACTGGCTTTGCTTAATAAAACCCTGTCATTTTGAATACTCAAACAGTGCTGTTAGCCATGTCTTTTTTTGTACGTGTTTGTACATCCTGAACTGAGAAAATCAATTCAGCAGAGAGTTGAATTTATTTCTGTTGTTGCAAACGTAGCCCTGTAGGACACGACTGCACTGACCAACTAAAGGTGAATGTTTTTGTGTAGGAGGGTGATATGTTTCAAGGCCTCGAGCTCCGAGTTGATCTTTTATTCATGCAAACCATGTACACTTCTGATGAAGCAATTATCTCACAAGCAAATCGCTTTTGTGTTGTCTGTTAAACAATACGCAATCGCATCAATATTTCTCTTTCAAACTCATTAAAAGCATCATACTGATACCTGTTCTGAGTTGCCTCTTTATTCTTTCCCTGCACAAGTTTGCACACTGCAACTGCATTGAAAATGTGATCATGCTTCCACGCAAATCAGATACACTCCTGTTGCTTTATTAATCAAATCGGCCGAGGTTATTAATCTAGTCCCTCTTAATGAAGAGGCCATAGATAGGTAAATTGCAGCATTTGTAATGGTATTGTGCAGCTGATGGATACACAGACCAATAAAAGCCTTCGGTAATGGCTTCGCTGTGACTATGAATATGCATTAGCCCAGCGAACGCTGAACAATGAGAGTGGGTGTTACCTTCAACTCTCACCGAACGGTGTAGGATGTTTCCATGGTGACCACCATGGCAACGCAGTGCGGAATTACTAGCCTCGGCCTTGAGAGGGGCTGTTGTCGACAATACTCGCCGCCTGCTTTTATCATGCTAAAACTATAGAGTGCTCTAGGTTATTACGACTCCATTACTTTAAGAGTAATTCATTTAATAAGATATTGGTCCTCCCAAAAAAGCCATTCAGGGTCAGGAAGATCCAGGGATTGATCCGAATGAACTCGTTCAGTGTTATTCAGGGGGGAGGGGGGATGGTTTGGAGATTGAGAGAGAGCACCATTTTCATTTGCAATGATGCTCCATAATATGATCAAATCTTTCCCTCGGTCCTCCGGCCCTGGAGACGGGTCAAAGGATTTCAATTACTGCCACACGAGCTCTCAACATCCTGGTCTGCCGAGCAAAGGTTCAACAGGTTCATCAGCTTATTATTTCCCATTGCACCTTGAAGACCTTAGTTAAATATTTTAGAATGTTAATAGCGTTTTCATTTTGAAACATACTGCACTGGATATAAGATGACCTTAAAGGTTTAATAGAAATTATTAGATTACAAAGGGAAGAAATCTTAATCTTCCTTTTTAATTTGGCTTCCTTTTTACTTACAATAATGGGATCATTGATTTTTCTAATGATTGTTTTCAATTGCATTTTCATTTTAAAACATATTGCATTGTGCATAAGATGACCCTGAAGGTTTAACAGAAATTGTTAAATCACAAAGGGGGAAAAAATCATAATCTTCCCTTTTTACTTTACTTACTAACAGTAATGGAATCAATAATTTTCCAAAAATACAAATGGAAAAAATATTAAGCTTCCTTTTTCCATTAAAAAAAAACCTGTGTAGAAATAATTTAAACACAGAGATCACTGATAAATTTCACAATTAAGCAAGTAAACATTGGATTAACTCTGAAATTAGTAGATTTTTTTTTTGTAAAACAAATAATCGTGGTTTAATTTACTACTTTGAAAAATATTTTTACAGTACGTTATCTTCCTTTTTACTTTACTTATTAACAATAATCAATAATGGCATCATTAATTTTCCTAATATCCAAATAGTATAGATTGACAGAAAGTGTGTTACACATCACTACTTAAAATTTAAAATAAGAAATGTGTTTAAAATCACATGAATAAATTAATTTCAATTATACATAATCATTTACAATTGTAAAGGTCAAAGGTTGCCCGTGATGCTTTGGAAGTAACATGGAATGAGTTGGGCTTTTATGGTTCATGGATTAAGAAAATCTGTAATGCAGTGTTTTTCTTATCAAATCAAGTTAATATATGCTAATAAATCAGACTGCATTATAGGAACAGGATGCACAATGTAAATAATTAAAACATTATATAGAATTATACACCGTATATTACGCAAGAGATGTTCAGGAACAGTTCTACGTAATGCGTTCAGGATCATAAATGTCAGAATTACAGGATTAAGTCTTTTGAGTTGCGTGGCAGCTTTAATGTCTCTGAAAGTCGAAAGCAGGCTTGTTTGAGAGGATGTGTCAGAAATAGCAGACTGCCTCTCACAGTCCCTTGAGTCCCTTGTAATCATGATGGGTAGTGATTGTGCAAGAGCACCGCCTGCTGTACACGAACCAACCCTGCGGGGCCCAGATGATGTCATTCCATGCAGACGCCCAAGCCTCTTATGGACAATATGGACTTCCTCTGTGAGGCTAATTGTGATTTTATAATGAATACAATTTACGAAACACCTTATTATGCTGCGATTTAACCAGATTCTACCCATTTTTTGGATCAACACGAAGTTGAGACTCTAAAAACTGTGCTCAGAAGTATTGAATATTTATACCATGACACAATGCCAAGGCGATGTAAGGGAGCGATATTGCAGATAAACCCGTGCCAACTGCACTTCCTACAGGACAGCTGCCATCGGTTGAGTGCCCAGCCGTGAGTGAGCTGCCCACCATCTGATGGCTGGGAGGATGACAGGAACACAGAGTGTGACTGGGAGTGATCCATAACACACACACACACACAAGTCTGATTTACTATCTTTGTGGGGACTCTCTGTAGGCATAATGGTTTTTATACTGTACAAACCGTATATTCTATCGTCCTACAACAACCCTACCCCTCAAAAAAAACTTTTTGCATTTTTACCTTCTCAAAAAAAAAAACATTCTATGATTTTTAAGCTCGTTTCCCAATGGGGACCTGAATTTAGGTCCCCACGGTGACACAAGTCCCAATGAGTATAGTCTCCTCTCTATCTTTCTCAGGGTTTATATGAAGACGCATTGGCAATTTGTTTTTGGTTTACATAATATTCTTAAATTCTAAGTACAAGTACAATGTCAATCCCAATGCAATGTTTCTCTTACGATATCCACCTTATTTTGCCGTTATTTTCTGTGAATGTGTGAGACTTCAGTATTGTTTGACCGTTTGCCAATTTAATTTACACTTGTTAATTTTATAATCATCTTTTTTTTATTTACTAATTTGTGTGATGTCAGAATGGGGTTCTCTTCTAGGCTACATAAAAAAAAATTTTTTTTTTAATTCATACAATATAGGTTTCAAACGTTTCCATAAAGATGAAAAAATACAAGCTTAAAAGTTAGTTTGCACACCTGTTACCATAGGCCCTAGAATTCTGTAACCACAGCAACAGTATGTTGCATAAGCACTTTTTTACTATCAGTTTCAGGCGGTGTGTAGAGAAAGTATAAGCACAGCTGTCATTTTCTATAATTTTCTTATAAATGTATGTCTAAATATCGCAAATTAAACTTTGGAATTCTATTTTAAATGTATTTTACATAATTGTAATTTCACTAACTATGCTAACTCACCAAATGTAAATTTGCATTTAACAAGGACAAGCCTTGATGCGTTTCGCCACCTGAAAATTACTTTTACATTTAAAAATGTAACTACCAATTCCTGAGGTTTTTGTTTGACATTTAGAAGCATTTCATAAATGCTTTGTCTCATGAGCCCAAAGAAACACTTCTCATACAGAATACCTGAGATTAAACACTATACTGATCATGATACGATTGAAAAAAAATGTTTTTCTTTAAGTACTTAAGTCTAAAGTACTAAATCTGAATAGACATGGGGGACGTCTTACAACTTCTTTTTGCACAGAAGTTGTAAGATATTATTTTCCGGAGGAATGTATACTGAACATCTGGATGGTTTTAATTTGAGTTCAGACCTCCGAGAAAACAGGCTTTTACTGGGAAAATACTCATAGAATATGTATGACAATGTGTTTGATTGGGATTTTTTCCAGACGTATCTCAAAGATGCATTTGCTGTTCAAAAAATTATATAATAGTTCTAATAATAATGTATTTGTCTATTTCTGCATCTTATAGTCCCGAGTCTCCAAATAGCCAGTACCTAGTAGAGTATGAATTTTATAATAATAATTTTTAAAAAAAATGTTAAAGCCAATCGAGTTCAAATATGTACACTGACTGTAGTGTATTTTTTTTTAACTAATAGCGAGTATAAACATATTTTTAAGATTTTCCTCTTTTATGACACTGCAAAAGTGTAAAAAAAAAAAAAAAAGGTTCATGTGCAATTACAGCACAGATGGTTAGTGGGAAAATCTGTGTGTGAGGGAAGGGGGGAAAAACTCTTTCATATGTTTAACTATTAATAGCCTGTTGATTAATTATCTTACACAAAATGTTTGTCATTTAAACAATAAAAAAAGCCTGACTATATATAATGTAAAATTATATATTATAATTTAAAATGATAATGTAGCCTACTATGTGGCTCATATGGTAAGTTCAAGGCCGTAAGAAAGAAAGAAAGAAAGAAAGAAAGAAAGAAAGAAAGAAAGAAAGAAAGAAAGAAAGAAAGAAAGAATGTGTTGAGTCAGCCAAACTGCCCTCAAACTGAACTTTATATTTTCCACCTATTATAGAATAATGCTCTGCTGTTATTAATATTCTGCTGCATTTCATACTCTATCTAACAAACCACTCAGTATTCAAGAGGTTAACTTTGATAAAATGAATCCTTTTACAGCATGGCTCATGGACGCCTAGCGGCAAACAATGGTGAATTGTCAATATTGTTTTCACTTTCACTTACATGCTCCCTGATAGTCAGTGAGTCACTGAATATACCAGGGCTTGGCAAAACAGACCTCGTCAAGCCTAGTAATATGCTGGAAGGGAATAAACAACTGAGTATATTTATCACATATCTGTGGTTATTTTTTATCACATGGGTCCCATTTACGTCTGTACTACAACAACTCTAAAAATAATGACACAAATAAAACAAAAGTAAAAATAATTGTACTATTTGGTTCCATGTGGTTTTAAGCATCAGATCACTGCTTTCGAAATGACAAATTTCTATTATAAGTTAACAATGACAGTGGCTTGGTTTAACTACAATAAGTCAATGTTGTTATATACAATAAAATATTGTTAATGTATTGTTGTTATGCAAATGTTTACAGTACCAACAAAACATAATATTTATCTCCATGGCATTATGAGCGTATCTATTCTGAAACATTTCTGAGACATGAGTTAGTGAAGTAGCTGCCTGCTCACACACAAACAGTCACAAATCTATAGAAGCCCATTTAAGCCACAGGATAAAAAAAATAATAAGGTAATTGTTACTTTTAATA